CGGCGCATGGCAATTTGTGAGCGCTTGACAGTAATGGCCACCTGTGAGTGTTTCGCAATGTCGGGAAGGCGTTGGCGGGTCACTTCCAAACCGCGCCAAAATAATGACCACGCGTTTAAGACGACTCCGCCGCTATCATGCAATGCGCATGCCGTTGGGCATGCACTGGGCCCCGCCCCGCGCAATCGCCATGGCCACGAACCATTCTGGCGAGATGCGCAAACATGGGCATACGCGCGCCCGCGATTCAGCCACCCCCCTCGAGAAGGAGGGGGCAAAACCATAGCGCCCGAATCCAACAAAAACGGCAATGAGCAATGAGTTCGGAGCGCGAGTCCAGCGCGCGCCGCAAAAACGAAACAATAAAAACAAAAAAACAAAAAAAAGCAACAAAAAGAGCATGAAAAAAAAACACAATTAGTGGATCCTAGCCTCGGGGAGAGCTGACAAACGGGACCTCCTGAGAGAAGCCTCAAGGGGCCCGACACCATGCGAAACGGGACCTCCCGGGGCGGGTTTTCGGGGGCCCGACACCATGCCAAACGGACCTCCCGGGACCAGGTTTTCGGACGTGACGCTATGCCAAACGGGACCTCTGGGGAAGGCGCCCATGGGCCCGACACCATGCCAAACGGGACCTCCGGCGAGAAGCGCCCATGGGCCTGAACGGGGCCCTGCCGCCGCGGACGGAGCCCTCGGGGCCTTCGGGGAGCCCCCCATCGGGCCCTGTCCGCGGCGGAGCGTCTCCCGTGGAGAATCCGGCCCCGATTCCCTTCGGGAGACCATCCGCCGCGGACGGGGGCCCCAGGGAGCCCCCCAACGGACCCTGTCCGCGGCGAGGTGTCTCCCGTGGAGTATCCGGCCCCGATTCCCTACAGGAGACCATCCGCCGCGGACGCGGCTCTCGGGGAGCCACCCAACGGGCCGCGTCCGCAGCGGGGTGTCTCCCGTCGAGAATCCAGCCCCGATTCCGCACGGGAGATCATCGGCCGCGGACGGGGGCCTCGGGGAGCTCCCCAACAAGCCCTGTCCGCGGCGGGGTGTCTCCCGCGGAGAATCCGGCCCCGATTCCCCACGGGAGACCATCCGCCGCGGACGGGGCTCTCGGGGGGCCCCCCAACGGGCCCGGCGGCCCTGTCCGCGGCGGAGGCTCTCCCGTGGAGAATCCGGCCCCGATTCCCCACGGGGGGCCATCCGCCGCGGACGGAGCTCTCGGGGAGCCTCCCGACGGACCCCGTCCGCGGCGGGGTGTCTCCCGTGGAGAATCTGGCTCCGATTCCCCACGGGAGACCATCCGCCGCGGACGGGGCCCTCGGGGAGCCCTCCAACGGGCCGCGTCCGCGGCGGGGTGTCTGCCGTGGAGAATCCGGCCCCGATTCCCCACGTGAGACCATCCGCCGTGGACGGGGGCCTCGGGGCTCCCCGGGAACCACCCAAATGCTCTGTCCGCGGCGGGTGGTCTCCCGTGGAGAATATGGCCCCGATTCCCCACGGGAGACCATCCGCCGCGGACGGAAGCTTCGGCGCCGTCGGGGGGCCACCCAAATGCTCCGTCCGCGGCGGGGGGTCTCCCGCGGAGAAACTGGCCCCGATTCCCCACGGGAGACCATCCGCCGCGGACGGGGGCCTCGAAGCTCTCGGAGAGTCAACCCAAATGCTCTGTCCCCGAGTCCCACGGGAGACCATCGGCCGCGGACGGGGGCCTCGCGGCCCTCGGGGAGCCACCCCAAATGCTCTCTCCGCGGCGGGGGGTCTCCCGTGGAGAATCTGACCCCGATTCCCCACGGGAGACCATCCGCCGCGGACGGGGGCCCTCGAGGCCCTCGCGGAGCCACCCCAAATGCTCTGTCCGCGGCGGGGGGTCCCCCGTGGAGAATCTGGTTCCGATTCCCCACGGGAGACCATCCGCCGCGGACGGAGGCCTCGGGGCTCTCGGGGAGCCACCCCAAATGCTCCGTCCGCGGCAAGGGGGTCTCCCGTAGAGAATCTAGCACCGATTCCCTACGGGAGACCATCCGCCGCGAACGGTGGGCCCGACAGCATGCCAAACGGGACCTCCCGAGAGAGGCCCCAGGGGCCCGACACCATGCCAAACGGGACCTCCCGGGACCAGGTTTTCGGGGCGTGACACCATGCCAAACGGAACCTCCGGGGAAGGCGCTCATGGGCCCGACACCATGCCAAACGGGACCTCCGGCGAGAAGCGCCCATGGGCCCGACACCATGCCAAACGGGACCCCCCCGCCGCGGACGGAGCCCTCGGGGCCTTCGGGGAGCCCCCCGATGGGCCTGTCCGCGGCAGAAACTGGGGTGTCTTTAGAAAGGCTTGAAAGTGGTGTTTTGTCTTGGGCGGAGACGCCGCTTGGCGCTGAAGCGCGTTCCCCTGCGCTTTCGTCCTTCATCGCCGCGGCCCCTCCAGCGGACCACGAGATCCAAGAGATCCAAAAACTTGCGAGAGATTGAAATTCACTCATCAGAGACATCTTCAGCATGTCATCTTAAATATCAGTTTTCCTGATTTATGTTGATATTAGGTGGGGTTGGTCCATGTTCTTATATATCAATGTTCTTGATCTATTGATCTTGCAACCCCAAATTTTGGGCCCCCATAGATCCAGAGTTCTTGGTCGATCCCGACACCATGCTTGGGTTTCGGGGTCGCACGATCTCAAGTGCTGCGTGCAACCATGTGTCCGCCATCGGCAATGGCGGGCGCGGCAGCCAACTGACCCGCCCGATCGGGGAAGAATTCGCGACATCGCGCGTGCATCCCGACAAAACTCCTCCTCCTCCTCCTCGTCCTCCTCCTCGTCCTCCTCCTCCTCCCCCTCTTGTTCCTCCTCCACAAGGAGATGTTCCTCTTTGGCGGCCCCGCAGGAAGGCGGGCGCGCCTTAAAGCGTGCCGAGGACGCCTTCGACCACCAGGATGAGTTGTACCAAAGGTACCCAGCCTAGGGGGTCGCGGCATCGGGACGGTACCGAAGGTACCTGGCCTAGGAGGTCGCGGCATCGGGACGGCGCCCGAAAGCCGAAAACGGTTTCAAACGGCCGCAAACGGCCCAAATAACTGCGCGGGGTTATCCCCACACCCAGCGGCACGCGACGCGATCGCCCTCGCACCAAAGGGGCAGGATCGCGCACGGGTCCCCGCGCTGGCCCTCGTAGCGGGGCACGAACCAGTTAGCGGGCACGTCTCTTCCCCTCCCACGGAAGAGCCAGAAGTCGGCAGGTTGCGCGTCTGGCAGGCAGGGCTCAAGGAGGTTCGGGGCCCATGGGGGCCTCGGGTCGGGCCCCGTCGGGGGAAGCGAGGGCGCGAAGCGAGGGCGCCGAGGGCACCCTGGCACCTTGCGGGTACCGTCTGCCCGCTCGAATGCCTGGGCGGCCAAGCATTTCGAGCCCATAGGGGTCTAGCAGGTCTTCCGCGGCCCGATACACGGGCGCGTAAGTAAAATGCGTTTGGGATGGTCGTGCAGCAATGTTGCGCGCAGCTGGGCTGCCATGAAGGCGCCTGCCAGGCGGCGGGGCGGCCGCCCACCAAAGCTAAGCAACGCCATGCTCGACGCGCGGCGGGCGCCGTGTGATATTCCTCCTCCTCCTCCGTTTTTTCCTCCTGCTCCTCCTCCTCCTCCTCCTCCTCCTCCCCCTCCTCCTCTTCCTCCTCCTCCTCCTCCTCCTCCTCCTCCTGCTCCTCCTCCCCCTCAAGAAGGAAACCCCAAGAGACCCAACATGTGCCACAAGAGGCTCCTTCCAAGAAGCTCTAACAATGACCCGCAGACGCTGCCGAGAAGCGCGCCACGAAAAGCACCCACGGCGCTATCCACGCAGCTGCACGCACAAGTAATGGGGGGGCTGGCGGCATAAGCCGAAGCCTTTGAGATGATACCCTCGCGGAAAGAAGGAGGAGGAGGAGGAAGAGGAGGAGGAGGAGGAGGAGGGGGGGGAGTGGAGAAGGGAGGGCGAGGAGGTCTGCCGACGACGACGTCGAGTGGGTCACGAGCAGCGAGAGCGACGATGTCGATTCAAGATTCGGGGAGGAAGAAGGGTAGGAATAACGGGAGGAGGAGGAGGAGGAGGAGGAGGAGGAGGAGGAAAAGTGGAGGAGGAGGAGGAGCAGGAGGAGGAGGAGGAGGAGGAGGAGGAGGGGGCCTCTTGGCGGCCTTTTGGGGCCTCTTGCAACCTTCTTGGGGCCTCCGGGGGCCTTCTCGCGGCGTAAAGGTCGAGTTTTCGGTTCGTGGACTCCCTCTTGGGCCTTTGGGCCCTTTTGGGCCGTCGGGGGCGCCTTTTGGACCGTCTTAGGGCCCTTTTCGGCCGTCTTGGAGCCGTCATGGGGGCCTCTTGGGCCGTCATGTGGGCGTCTTGGGCCGTCGTTGGGCGATCTTGAGAACCTCTTGATCCGTCTCGGAGCATCGGAACGCCGAAAAGGCGAGAAGGCCAACATTTTCAGAAACGTTAGGGAAATCACGGATTGTTGTTGCGTGGGGCCCTCTTAGGAAGCCTCTTGGAGGCCTCTCGGGCCGTCTTGGGAGTATCTTGGGCCGTCTTGGGGCCATCGTGACGGCCAAACGACAAATGACAGCAGACCGCACGCACCTTCGCAGCATTGCGCCGCCGGAGGGGGCCAGCGGATTTTCTACAGGCGTCGTTGACTCCAACCTCTAGCCTCCAAGCCTAACCCAAGCATGGGTGCGCGAATCGGTTGGTCACTGCTGCAAGAGAGAAGGGGAGTGGAGGAGGGTGTTTGGGTGAAAGGAAACAGGGAAGGAGGGGGAGTGGCAGGAGAGAGCGGGGTGGGGAAAGGGAAGCGAGTGGAGGAAGCAATGAAGCCAGCTGCGTTCCCAGTCTGCACCCCTCGTCTTATGGGGCGGCAGAATCTGCCCGCTCCAGGCGGCGCCTAGTGTAAGCAGCAACGTAGTCGTGGCACCCCCAGGCTCCCCAGCTTGCAGTCTACCCTTCGCCCTCTCCCCCCTCCTGTCCCGCCTCCCTCCTCCCTCACCTCCTCCTCAGCATCCTCCTCCTCTTCCCCTACTTATCCTGCCTCACACGCGCCTAACTGCGCTGGGCGATCACTTGCATGGAACGCCGAGGCTCAAGTAGATGCCGCGCAGCACCCTCTCGACGATAGACTGGCACATTGCGTTACCGATCAAGGAACCCATCTGCCTTGGCGAAAGGATCTCGTCCCACCCGGCGAACATGTTCTCATCGACGCCTTGGAGGCGCATCATGTCTGCGATGGTAAATGTGCGGAACTGCTGGCTAGAGAAGTAGGCCTGGTCCTGGCACCGCGTCACCGTGAGACAGCAGCAGCATCATCATCATCGTCATCAGCATCATCACTATCATTATCATCATGATCATCGGCATCATCGTCATCAGCATCATCATAATCAGCAGCATCATCATCAACCTCATTAGCGTCATTAGTAGCACCAGCATCATCACGCATCAACATCGATATCAGATTCGGCATCCCGCTCTCACGCATACCCCTCATGGTCCCCGCCCCCTACCCATGCTCATCCCGCACAGGGGCCTTGGCTCAAGGCCCCTGTGCGGGCAAGCTTCCCAGCCTTTTGCGCGCGCGCACCAAGCATTTCGCATACCCGTACACTTCCCTCCTACTACCCACGCAGGTCTTCGATTGTTTTTCTGGGTGCTCGTGTCTTCGGCAGCTTACGTGAAGATGCCGGCTGAAAAGCACCATATGGGGACACCAGTGAAAAGCGTGCTGAAACCACCATCGGATAAAATGCGACGTACGGGAAGTTCACCACTACAAGTTGACGACGAAGGACCTCGAGCTTTACAAGACCAATTCCAGCAACGTCTTGCGGGAGCTGGCGAGGCGACTGGCTCCAACATGATGAGCAAGACCCCTCAAGCACTCACTACCGATACTTTCCGGGAGATTTTGAACGAGCAGTTGGACCCGATCCGGAAAGACATTTTGGCCATTAAGGAGCACGGTGTTTCACAACATGACCTCCAGACGGCCATCAACCCACTGAAGGACGAGATTGACGGCTTGACCAAGAGGATTGGCTTACTGGAGTCGAATTACACGTCACGTCCGCCAACTTCAGGTCCCACTTCTGCAAGGACAGCGTCAAGTATAGACACGGCGGCGCACAATAAACTGCAAGAGCTTGAACGGGACCTTCAACAGCTTAAACAACAGCGTGGCGCACCTGCTTGCCGTTCACAGCATGATCCTGATGAGAAGCGGTCGTTGACTGGTGTCTTTGGGAACCTTGTGGGGTTCGACATGTTCAACACAGCGGCAGCATGGATCAAGGAAAAACTATCCGAAGCAGACGGCCCCACCCCGTACAACCTGTACATGAAAGGCGATACGACCACAATTTTGTATGCAGAGTTCGCCACCACGCTGGACAGGGATACTGCCGTGGCTCTGATCAAAAGTGCGAAGTTCGATTTGAATGGGAATACTGTATGGGCTTCGCCCGACCGCCATCCATTAGAGAGGGCCGCTCGGAATTTCTGTTTCGGGCTGAAGTATTTCCTCAAGGACACCATGCACTCGACCTACACCATAAATGTATCAAATGACGCTCCTTACCAAGTTCGAGTGGGTGGTCAATTGGCTCTCACTGTTACTACGGACGGCACGCATCTTACTCGTAAGTGGGAGGAGGAATGGGAGAAGTGGGAGGAACTACAACAACACGAAAAACTAAAAGAATTGATAGCTAAATGCGATTCCTTAGTCACCCGGGCGACTGCAGGGATGAAGGGAGGGGCGAAGGGCAAATCTAAGGGTGACGGGAAGGCGTAGGAAATGCGGCAAGTATCAGGGAACGTCCGACTTGATACCGGAGCCGGTGAACAAGGACATCCGCAATCTGACCCGCCTAACTTTTTGATCATTGAGGATATGCTGGGCAAAGTTACCAATTTCTCCAACAAGTCGGTTTCAGATGTCTGCCCCCGAAAAGTCGTCAGCAGATATGTTGAAGATGGACCTCCTCATCCTAGTTCTCTTGAGTCCGATGGTTCTGGGCGTAACCAGGGCAAAGCTACCGCTATGTTCAGACCTACGGCATCCCGCACATTTTCTGCAGCCGGCATGGGCGACAACTCCAAGCCGCAGCAACAATTACAATTTCATACTCCATCTTATTTATCTTCGTCTCCTCCTACTCCCCCGGCTTCTTCTACATCAGCGTCTCGCGTGCCACCGCCGAGGACTCTGGCCCGCCAGGCTACTTCGGCGCAGGCATCCCCAGCTCTGACGTCCGCATCTTCCCCTCCTCTGGGATCTGGTTCGGTGATGGGCAAAGCTACCGTTTCCGTAAGCCTTCCAACGCATGATAGTTCATTTTGTGATGGACGTATACTGGACAAAGTTGCCACTACGGCCATCTACACATGCACACCTTCATCACATACATCCTCACCATCTTCTTGCGCGGGTGCCGTTCCCGAAGGGCGGGCCCATCGTGACCATGTTTCACTCAGGGCCCCGGCGGTCCTCAACCTTCACTTCGCCGCTGCCCCCGTCGACGGGCTGACCGACGACAACGAGGGCCCCGACATCGAGGCACAGTCGGCCAGGACAGGCTCGCATTCTTCTTCCCGTACTTGCGTGGGCCACCGAACTCAGCAACAGGCCGGGGGACAGACACATTCCACGAGGCAGACAGCTCTATGGTGTCAACCTCGCCGCTCTTGCGTTCCGCTGGGTTCGGAACAATTGGGTTCTTGGAATGTTGAAGGACTCCGAGGCGACTCCAGGATCAAGCTTACCGAGCTGTTCCGGATGATGAACTCCATTGGGCTGGGAATTCTTTGTATCCAAGAGACGCAACTTCATGGCGCATATTATGAAGAAGAGCTTGGATTCTTAATTTGTTTATCCGGGGAACTCGACGCAGAACGGCTTTCCAACGCAGGAGTCGGTTTTATAATAGCTCCATGGGCACGGGCATCACTTGTAGCTTTCAGGACATATTCGCCAAGATTGGCATCAGTGCGGCTTCGAGTGCAACATGGTGTCTTGGATCTTATCTCCGCGTACGCGCCACACAGCGGGCACGATTACGACGAGAGGCAACATTTCTTTTCCGAGTTGGGCGCAATAACGAAACCCACGACAACGCACAGCACTACTTTAGTACTGGGCGACTTCAACGCCAAGTTGTTGCAGCAAGGATTGGGGGAATCAGACATTATTGGAGATAGTGTATTCTCGGGTGGGTCAGCCCGCAGCATCCTGCAACAAGTATCTAACAGACAACTTTTGATCGAATACTGTATCGAGAAGGACATGTTGGTAGCGAATACGTTTTTCAAGGTACCAGTGGAAGAACAGATTACGTTCATAAACTTGGGGACTCTACCGTCAGAGCCGATTTCGCCGGACAAGTTCAGTCAAATTGACCACGTGTTGTGTCATAACACGGTATTGCCTTGGGTACAAGATTGCAGGACAGACCGTACCGTAGCATTGAACAGCCACCACTTCCTGACCAAGGTGATGGTGAATTTCGCATTCAAGAAACACCGTGACACGCAAGCACAATGTCAAAAAGATGCATCTTCTGTCCAGGAGCCGGACACCAAGGCTGCATTTACCAGGGCTTTCACTGAGGCTTGGGAGGCCAACCGGCCGCCGAAGGGATCGCATAACGACATGGCCAACAACATCGAGCGAGCGTTCGCTTCAGCGTCTTCCACATTACGGACAAGGCCCGCTCGAGCTAAGAAAGAATGGATTTCCCAATCTACATTGGATTTGATTGAACAGAGAGACGCATGCCGCCGCTCTGGAGATTATCAAGCAGAGCGCCTACTTCACAAGCGTATCCGGAAGGCAGCCCGGCATGATCGCACGAATTGGATTCATGAGACGCTGGTGGGAGGAAAATGGGACGCCGTAAAGCAACTCAGGAAGAAGCCGCAGATGAAGCACGCAGGAGTACGTGACATGAACAATAATTTGACTGACACCGCTGGCAGGCCAGACGCTTTGGCAGATTACTTTGAGAAGATCCAATGGGAAGTCAAATTTGCAGATATCAGCCCTACGTCAACAAGCACTTTGGGCAGCGAGTTGCCAGTGGATGTGTCTGCCTTCACGCTGGGGGAGCTACAACAAGCTTTGCGGAAAATGAGAAATGGGAAAGCCGCTGGCCCAGATGACGTCCCGCCAGAATTCTGGAAAGTCGTTTCTGAAGATGCCCATGCGTGCGGGGCTCTACTGGAAATCTGCCAAACATGCTGGGCGACTAAAGATATCCCGGACAAATGGAGGAGGGCGAAAGTAATACTTCTATTTAAGAAAGGAGACCACACGTTGCCTAGCAACTACCGCCCGATTTCTTTGTTGACTGTTGGCTACAAGGCACTGGCGTCAATGCTCCACCAGAGGCTCTTACGAGGAGGAGCTGAAGAACGAAAGAGATCATCTCAATTCGGTTTCCGGCCTCGGCGGGGAACGGCAGACGCTCTCATGTTGATCAGGCGAATCATCGATGCGGCCAACGTGGACAACACCGGGGGCCTTACGATAATCTTGCTTGATTGGGCAAAGGCGTTCGACAGGTTAAAGCCGGAATGCTTGTGTGCAGTTTTGATGCGCTTTGGGGTCCCTTCTCCGATGGTAGACATGATCAAAGGCATATACTCGGAGCGCTTCTTCACCATAGTGGATCATTGCGGCTGCTCTACGGAAAGGCGGCAGGCTGCTGGAATAGCTCAGGGTTGTCCTCTATCCCCGTACTTGTTCATTATGGTTCAGAGTGTCATGCTTCATGATGTATACCACGGTCTCCAGCTACGAGATGAACCCGGATTTGTGGTTACCCGAGACGTGCTTTACGCGGATGATACGTTGCTACTATCAAGACATGGGGAAAACTGCCAAGCTCTACTTAATGCTGTCGTTTCGGAAGGACGCAAATATGGCCTGGAGCTTAACTGGGACAAGACTCTGCAGATGCCAGTGGCTTCAGACAGCGTGGTGGCGAGGCCGACCGGGGAGCCCATTACACAAGTTACAGAGGCAGTCTACTTAGGAGGCTTGATCACGCACGATGGGCGAGTGGGAAATGAATTGAACCGGCGACTTGGCGAAGGGAAAGGCATATTCCAACAGCTTTGTAAGATTTGGAAGCATGCTGCAATCAGCAGGGCAAGGAAGTTGCAGATCTACACCAGCTGCGTGTTGAGCAAGGTCCTCTACTCCTTGGATTCTCTGTGGCTGCTAAAGGTTGACAGAACAAGGCTGGACGCTTTTCATTGCAGGTGCCTGCGC